TTCTATAAATAGTAACACGCAATTTCTAAAAATAGAAACACGCAATTCTAAAAATAGTAACATGCAATTTCTATAAATAGTAACACGCAATTTCTATAAATAGTAACACGCAATTTCTATAAATAGAAACACGCAATTTCTATAAATAGTAACACGCAATTTCTAAAAATAGAAACACGCAATTCTAAATAAACACGCAATTTTATAAATAGTAACACGCATTTCTAAAAATAGAACACGCAATTCTAAAATAGAACAAAATAAATAGTAAAGCAATTTCAAAAATAGAAACACGCAATTCTAAAATAGAAACACGCAATTCTATAAATAGTAACACGCAATTTCATAAATAGAAACACGCAATTTCTATAAATAGTAACACGCAATTTCTAAAATAGAAACACGCAATTCTAAAATAGAAAACGCAATTTTAAATAGTAACACGCAAAAATAGAAACACGCAATTCTAAAATAGAAACACGCAATTCTAAAATAGAAACACGCAATTCTATAAATAGTAACAAGCAATTTCTATAAATAGAAACACGCAATTTCAAAAAATAGAAACACGCAATTCTAAAAATAGAAACACGCAATTCTATAAATAGTAACACGCAATTTCTATAAATAGAAACACGCAATTTCAAAAAATAGAAACACGCAATTCTAAAAATAGAAACACGCAATTCTATAAATAGTAACACGCAATTTCTATAAATAGTAACACGCAATTTCTAAAAATAGTAACACGCAATTTCTAAAAATAGAAACACGCAATTCTAAAAATAGAAACACGCAATTCTATAAATAGTAACACGCAATTTCTATAAATAGTAACACGCAATTTCTAAAAATAGAAACACGCAATTCTAAAAATAGAAACACGCAATTCTATAAATAGTAACAAGCAATTTCTATAAATAGAAACACGCAATTTCAAAAAATAGAAACACGCAATTCTAAAAATAGAAACACGCAATTCTATAAATAGTAACACGCAATTTCTATAAATAGTAACACGCAATTTCTAAAAATAGAAACACACAATTCTATAAATAGAAACACGCAATTTCTATAAATAGTAAAACGCAATTTCTAAAAATAGAAACACACTATTCTATAAATAGAAACACGCAATTTCTATACACACACACACCAATAAATATATAATTATGGTCATTTAATGCACAAATCTGAGAAAATTCAGTAATTTAACCTTCAAGGTCAAGGTCATTAAAGAGCCCAAGCAAATTTGGGTTTGATAAACAACAAGGTCTGGTCCTTAAGAATGTTCTGTTATAATATGAAGTTGATCCCTTCAATAATAGCAAAGTTACAGTCAGTTACAGCCAAAACAATGAAAATTTCAATAATTTGACCTTCAAAGACAATGTAATTAATGAGTGAAGGTCAAGGTCTGTCGGGTTATTTTTAAGAGTTATCCTTGAAGATTATTATGTTCAAGTTTGAAGACAATCCATTCAAAAATAACAAAGTTACAGCCAATAATAGCCAAAAAAATGAAAAATACAATAATTTGACCTTCAAAGTCAAGGTCATTTCTGAGTGAAGGTCAAGGTCTGTCTGGTTATTTTTAAGGGATATCCTTGAAGATTATTATGTTCAAGTTTGAAGACAATCCATTCAAAAATAACAAAGTTACAGCCAATAACAGCATGAACAAGCAAAATTTGGACTTTTAACCTTGAAGGTCAAGGTCATTTATGGATGAAGGTCAAGGTTAGTGTGGTCTACTGAAAGGTCTTGTCCCAAGGGTGTTGTGGCCAAGTATGAAGACAATACACCAAGAAATAAAAAAGTTATGATCCAGGTACAAGTTTGCAGATGGGAACGGCAACGGCAACGCCAACCCGACTATAACAATACCTCTACTTTTTTTTTCAAAAAAAAAAAAGTCGAGCTAAAAACTGTCATCTTTAATAAGAATGGTTATAGATTTTTTTATATGCAGTGGCGGCTATGATTAAGGGCCGTATAATGTCACGTCCGCTCTGATAAAAAACGGGAGGGGAATTGTCCGCTCTGCTAAAATAAAGGGAGGGAAATTGTCCGTCCTATAAAATTAACGGGAGGGGAAAAGTCCACCCTATTAAAATAACGAGAGGGGAAATGTCCGGGTTGTGAAAATAATATGGAAGGGTAATCGTCCGGGAGGGGGATTGTCCGGGATTCATTCAATATATATATATATTCATGGGCTACTGAGGCGGAAGTTACGGCTGCAGCAATGTGTTATGGTATCGACATATATGTGAATGTGATATGTGGTCTACAAAATAATTGGCTTAAGTTTCCTATGCAGGAGGGTGATTCATCAAGAAGTAGTTATTTATGCTTAAGACATATGAGTGATCATTTTGATGTTTTGCGCATGCCCCACAAACCGGAATTAGATGTACACAACCCCAATGACTTGATTCATTCCCCAAAACCGTTCACGGATAAATTAAAGAGGACGTCACCGGAAGCTTATGAAAATATTCCAAATTCCGGAATTACAGATATTGGTAAACAGGAAGCTGTTGTTAACATGTTGTCAACAACACTGAGTGACGCACAGCTATCTCTACTATCAAAAGGATTGAAATTTGTACCGACACGGAGAAATATAGATAAAGGCAAACTTATAACTGATTTAAACACGTGGGAACGCCGAATGAGACTACAAGAGTATTTTCATGACAAGAAAACAGAAAACGATACACAAAATGAATATGACAGTAAAAAGAAGCAGTCAACGTGGACGCCAAGTGCGGGTAGGGATAAATGGTTAGACTCATACATCAAGAAAGTAAAAGATGATATAATTAATGGGCTAAAAAGAAAATTCAAAACAAATATTACAAGAACTGAAGAACAAGCAATGAAAGAGCTCTTAAATAATGATACTTTAGTTATACGTCCGGCGGATATGGGGTCTGGTATCGTTGTTATGGATACAGAGGACTACAGAGGTAAACTTCAGGCCGAGATGACTGACAATGCCAATTGGAGGTGAACGAAGATAAAACGAAAACTATTGAAAACAAAGTGAAAAAGATGGCAGATGATATGTGCAAGAAAGGATCAATTTCAAAAGACTTAAAAGGATATTTGACGTCGTCTGGTGGTACATCGGGTAAACTGCAAGGTAATCCGAAACTGCATAAAACAGGGGTGCCATTGAGAACAATAGTAAATGGGAGACCTCTTGCGGAGAAAATGGCAGAAATAGTAGAAATGGAGCTACACGCCCATGTGACATCACTTCCTTCATATATTAAAGACACCACTGATTTCTTAAGAAAATTAGAGAATATTAAACAACCACTTCTGGCAGGAACAATTCTTTTCTGTTTAGACGTGAAAGCTCTGTACCCAAGTGTCCCACGGGCAGAGGCACGAGATGCGATTGCACGTGCATTAAATCAACGTGCCAACCCTAACATACCCACAGAAAATGTTCTTAATATGATGGACACTGTCCTTGAAAATAACACTATTTCATTTGATGGAAGAAAATTCACGCAGACAGAAGGAACAGCGATTGGCTCACGATTAGGGATGAATTACGCATCTACATATCTTGGATCATGGGAATCACAGCTGATGACGATAACAGATAAACTTCCGCTTGAGTATTTCCGGTATGTTGATGACGTTTGGGGCCTTTGGACTCACGGTATCGAGTCGTTAAAAACATTCCATGAGCTTGGGAATAACCTTCATCCAAGAATAAAATTAGAATTAAGATATTCAGCTGAAAAACTTGAGTTTCTTGACGTAATGGCGAAGATTCAGAATGGCATTTTAATAACAGACCTATACACTAAACCCACAGATAAACACCTGTACTTGCATAAAAATTCGTCTCATCCGGAATCGACAAAAAAATCAATACCATATGGACTTGCCCTCTGTGCTAAGCGAATATGTATTAATGAATCGACTTACAAACAACATAGAGAAAATATTAAAACTCAGTTACAGAAACGAGGCTATGAAGATCGACATATTGAAACAGAATTAAATAAAGTAGATAGTAAGAAAAGAAGTGACCTATTACATTATAATGAAGATAAAGAAAACACTGAAAGAATCCCCTTGGTACTGACATTTTCCAGAGCGCTCCCGAATGTAGGACAAATAGTACGAAAACACCTACCTGAATTACACACCTCCGATAGAATGAAGGAAATATTCCCGAATCCTCCAATTGCGGCATTTAGAAGAGATAATAACCTACAAGACATTCTCGTTCATAAGAAACACAATAAACTATTTTTTCAACAGCCGAATTCCTGTGCTCCTTGCAGATCCAAAAAGTGTGCGATTTGTCCGTACGTTATTGAAGCAGACACATTCATTGGTTTGAACGGGGCCTCGTATAAGGTTCGAAACCAGATCACGTGCAAATCTACGAATGTTGTGTATGCAGTTTATTGTAAGCGTTGCGAACGTTATATTTATGTTGGAGAAACAGGGGATACGTTGTACCAAAGACACCTTCTAAATTTATCCAGAATACGAACCAAATACAACAATCCGTTAGCGGCACATTTTTACACGAACGACCACACAGTTAATGATTTTTCAATAATGGGGCTGGAAAAGCTATACGGGAATGACCAATACAGAAAAACAATAGAAAATTTGTGGAAAAATAAATTAAGAACCTATAGACAGTATGGAGTTAATACCAAAGAATAACGCGGCAGACGGCAAACAACGCCACGGCGGGCGTCGTTCATTGACGTTACGTCACTTCCATTGTTTTGTTTGATATATTTGTATGTAGAATAAATGCTGCTGAAGAAGGCCGCAAGGCAGAAAGCTACGGCAAATTTAAATTAGCGTTTTTGCTTATCTATATATATATGGTTAAAAAAACACCCAAAATAGAACAACAATTTTTTAAATGTTTATATACCTATGTGTTAAAACACGAAATTATTAAATGCCTAAATAAGTTTCATTAATGTAGAAAGAAAATGTGCTACCTTGATGTGAGTGCCTTTCTTAGCTGCTTGTTTCAAACCAAAGATACAATCCTCTAGACTGGGCTCATCCTCTGCCACTATACTTCCTTTCTTACAGGCATGTTGAAATCTGGCATATGACACTGTAAAATAGTGCCTGAGGACAACTGTCTCCTTTACTACACCATCTGCTTTGTCTATAACCTCATCTTGCTGTAAATATATAAATACAAATGTATACAAAATTTTTCACAAAAAGATTTTTTATGTTCACTATATTATTTATAACACACACACACATACACACTGAGGTGAATCGCTATATGCCACCACAAGGACAGACGGATGTCTGGTCGAAATGGAATAAGGGGCCATTTCTTTTGTTTAACAGAGGGCCCATTGGCCCTTTATTCTATTGTTACTGAATGAACTAAATTGTCCTCTTCTGTTCAGTTTATGGTAAGTTGGCCTCCCATTCCTATTCAGTCATGCGACAGTTAAATTACGAGGGGAAGTCAGAAAATATCCGGACTTTTGACTCGTTCTCGAAAACCATTCAACATTTTAAAAAAAATCTTTCAACTCTTTTTCAAAATATTCTCCACCTACGTCTACACACTTTTGCCATCTTCGTGGGAGCTTTTGTATTCCCACTGTGAACCATGACATAGACCTATGTTTTAGGAACTGTGTAATCAAAGCCGCCCTGGTCTTATATTTCTTTCCAGCAAGCAATTTTTTCAGTTCTGGAAACAAATAAGTCACAGGGGGCGAGGTCTGGGCTATAAGGAGGGTGAGACAACAATTGCCATTTGTAAGAGTTGATAACCTCCACTGTAGCTGCGGCGGTATGGGAGGGGGCATTATCGTGAAGAAGGAGGACATTTTTCTGTGCTAACCTGGGACGCATTTGCTTCAGCTTTTCTCTGTGATTTTTCAGAATTACTTCAGAATAGTACTTGGCGATGACAGTTTGACCTATTGGCATGAAATGAGTAAGTATCATTCCTCGTGAATCCCAAAAGGCAACAAGCATGACTTTGCCAGCCGAAGGAGACATCTTAAACTTTTTAGGAGGTTGGGAACCAGCTCGTTTCCACTGCTTTGACTGAGCTTTTGTCTCAGGTTCGGAATAATGAACCCACATCTCATTTCCAGTGATAATGCGGTTCAAAAACTTATCTCCTTCACGATTAAAACGACTTAAAATGTTCTTTTGCACTGGTTACTCTGGTTGCCTTTTGATCTGCGGACAGCTGTCTTAAGGCACCCACCTGGCACTTACCTTGCTCATGCCTAGGTGTTCGTGTAAAATCTTGTGTGCCGATGCCTTACCGATGCTAAACTTGTTGGCTACCTCCTCCAAAGTTACTCAACGATTTTTGTTGACAAAAGCTTTAACATTTGCTACCATTGTTGGGGTCACCGCCTTAGCTGGCCGCCCAGTCCTAGGCCTGTCACAAACACTTGTTCTGCCTTCACCAAACTAAGAAACCCAGTTGTAGAAGGTTGAACGTGATACACATTTATCAGAAAATCTTTTTTTAAGCTTCTGAAAGATGTGGAAGGGCTTTTCACCTTCTGCAACCAGAAACTTTATTACAGAGCGTTGTTCCTCTAACAAAGAGTCCATGATATATGGAACACCTATCATATATCAGAGGGCAAAATACTGTGTATACACAACTATCATTGAAAATAAACTGACCACGTTACTGGCGAATTAATGTACATGTAGTTTTCACCAATATATAATGTGTGTATATAGCTGCACGTGGAAAGAGAGGAGCATGAAAAGTCGGGATATTTTCTGACTGTCCCTTGTACAATAGACTGGAGGTAAACAGGGTTGTTTTTTTTGGCTTATTAAAATTTAATAGCTGATATTGGGTCATATTCCTAATTGAAAATATTACATTATTTTCCCAATTCACAGAAAAAAAATTCGCAAATGAAAGTTACAAAATTAAAAATAAAGTAATATATAAAATTTCAATAAGAGGGCCAAAATGGCCCTAGATTGCTGACACCTGACCCATCTTACTCATCCGAGCAATTACCTATTCAAGCATCCTGACCAAGTTTCATGACAGTTGAGTGAAAAATGTGACCTCTAGAGTGTTAGCATGGTTTTTCCATATTTAAACAGTGGGACCTAGTTTTTGAGCCCAGGTGACCCATTGTCTACCTTGACCTAGAAATCATCAAAACAAACTTTCAGACCAACTTCAAGGATATTTGGATCAAAACAAGATTTTTCTATTTTTAGCTCCTGTAACCTATTTTTTCATCCGAGATGACCCATGTTTAATATCATTTGAGCAATTACCTAGACAAGCATCCTGACAAAGTTTGATGACGATTGAGGCAAAAATGTTACAACTAGAGTGTTAACGAACAAATGTGGATGGACAAAGGTCGACGGACATTCAACAATCCTAAAATCTTTGAAAATAAGGGCTTCTTCATTGTTATAGTGATTAAATGTTTGAAGATACCATCCTAGACAGTGATGGTTTGCATTCATTTAAAATCAATGCAAAATTTCAGTCATGCACTTTTTCCCAATTTTTAACAAAACATTGCTGAAATTCACAACTCCATGGTTATGGGTCATGTTCCCAAAATCCAGGAAAAATCCTGGCATAAAAAAAAAAGATCAATGTTTAAGTTTGTTGACTATAATGGCAGCAGAAAAGAAACAATGACTGAAACAATAGGATATTTCCTAACCGTATTCTTATTATGAAATTTCAATAGAAATAAAATGAGACTAGAAATCTGTCATCATGCCACGGATGCCCCCGCATGCAGCCAAAATTTCAGAAGTTATAATATTTAGTTCCAAATTTGTTTGCACAAATTATTTTTTTCATTTTAAGTTCAAAGACCTTAAAACTTTTCAATGTTAACACAAACCATTTTCATACAATGTTCAAGGAGCTGAAATTATTCAGTCTTAACCTTTTAAAAATAGCATATTGCATATTTGTAGCCAAAATAATGGCTACATACATTTCCACAAAAGTATGAGTGTTGAAACTGAAAGTTCAAAAATTTTCCAACATTCAGGAAAGATAAGTTTGTCCAAAATCATTGAACCACGACCATATTCAAACTTAAACTGCTTATTCCTAAGATGTATCTATATTATTTTCAAAGTGAAAGGGACATAACTCTGCCAAAAAATCATCAAACCATGACCAAATTCCAACTTGACCTGCCCATTCCTTTGACATATCCATATGTCAAATTTGAGTTGAATATGTAACACTGTTGGGTAGATAATGAACAGAAACTGTAAATTTCATATTATTTTCAAAGTGAAAGGGGCATTACTCTGCCAAAAATCATTGAACCGTGACCAAATTCGAACTTGGCCTGGGCATTCAAAAAACATATCCATATGTCAAATTTGAGTTAAATGTGTTGTACCGTTGGGGAGATAATAAACGGAAACTGAAAATTTCATATTATTTTCAAAGTGAAAGGGGCATAACTCTGTCAAAAATTATTTAACCATGACCAAATTTGATCTTGACCTGCGCATTCCTTTGACGTATCCATATGTCAAATTTAAGTTTAATGTGTTGTACTGTTGGGGAGATAATGAACGGAAACTGAAATTTTCATATTGTTTTCAAAGTAAAAGGGGCATAACTCTGCCAAAAATCATCGAACCATGACCAAATTCGAACTTGACATGTATTTTCTCATGACATATCCATATGTCAAGTTTGAGTTGAATGTGTTGTATCGTTGGGGAGATAATGAACGGAAACTGAAAATTTCATATTATTTTCAATGTAAAAGGGGCATAACTCTGCCAAAAATCATCGAACCATGACCAAATTGGAACTTGACCTGTATTTTCTCATGACATATCCATATGTCAAGTTTGAGTTGAATGTTTGCAACCGTTCTTAAGATAATGAACGGAAACTGATGATGACGGAATGACAGAATGACGGAATGTCGGAACAGGGTAACACTATATGCCCCGGCCATTACATGGCGGGGGCATAAAAAGGTTGGAAAACAGTGAACATAGAGGAGTGTAGTGAACCAAACTTGTAACTAAGTTATGAATTATTGAGCTGTCTCAATGTTAGCTGTGAATTGCCTATGTCATCAGAACAAACAAGAGCTGTCACAGGAGACAGCCAAGCTCGACTAATAAAAAACTGGACGCAGAAAGGAGGACAAAACTATGAAAGAAAAATCAATTATGTTTAATTATGTATTAAGTTATAGTAAAAAAATAACATTTGTTAAAATAAATTCCAAGATCAAGGGAAATAATTCTAGAAATAGTCACGCTAGAGTTATGAACCTTGTCACACAACATGTATGTAGTGATAAGAAGTATATATTAGAAGTTTGAAGTAGATACCTTAAAAAGTAACAAAGTTATAATATTTCTTAAAGAAAATCCTAAGTTCAAAGAGAAATAAATCTGTAAAAATTACTTCAAGAGTTGAACATTGTCACATAAAATATAATTGATTATAAGGAATAAGTATTTGAAGTTTGAGGTAGATACCTTTAAAACTAAAAAAGTTATAGTAAAAAATAACATTTTTCTAGTAAAAAAAATCTAAGTTGATGGGGAGATAATTCTTGCAATATTGGTGCTAGAGTTATGAACCTTGTCACATAAGATGTGGATGATGATAAGGTACATTTATTTGAAGTATGAAGTTGATCCCTTTAGAAATAAATAAGTTACAGTAAACAAGAGGGCCATGATGGCCCTGAGGTCGCTCACCTGTATATAGCCCCCCCCCAGCCCAATTTTTACCCAAGGGCTTTTATTTGTTTATTTGAACAGACTTGGGAGACACCCATAAGAAGATGTTTCATGCAAAACATCCAAGTTCTAACTCATTGGGTTTTTTAAAAGAAGATTTTTTAAGTTTTTACTATACACATATAGTTAAAAACAATGACACCCCTCGGGCAGGGCCAGTTTTGACCCCTGGGCTTTTATTTGAACAAACTTTGTAGATATTTACTTAAAGATGTTTCATGCTTAATATCTAAACTCTAGTTATTTGGGTTTTTTCAAAGAAGATTTTTAAGTTTTTGCTATGTATATAAGGAAAATCAATGACCCCCGGGGCGGGGCCAGTTTTGACCCCAGGGCTTTTATTTGAACATACTTGGTAGACACCCATTAGAACATGTCTCATGCTACATATCTTATCTCTAGC